CCCTACCCCCCACTCACCACTTCACCTACCTTTTAATCATTTCCTGTGTGCACTGTGACAAATATTGCGGTAACCAGGAAAATTATACCGCCGTTGACGTAGATAATAAGGGCGGGTCTTGGCAAAAACGACAAAAAAATATTCGGTTGCATAGGATTGCAATGACTCCACCTATCCACTTATTCAGACGGCCGCTTCGTCGGCTCCATTCGTTGACCCGGCGGTCCTCCGCAGTCGTATAAGCTCAATTTGTACATCGGGAAAGCCTTCTCATTCTTATTCATTCATTTATCGGTCCATTGAAAGCTCTTTGAACTTCGTACCACCTTTTTGATCAGTTGTTTTCTCATCATTATGTAGGGGTATGACGCCAGAAGCGAGAGTTCCTGTTCGTTGACCCCGGGAAGTTCAAACATTTATCAAAAGTCGACCTGATTCCCCTATCCTGAATTTGAGCCACTTCTCGCATTCTCATGTCAATAAGGACAGGAAAAGGGAGTTCCAGTTATTTTCAGTTAGCTAGAAGTGAAACATCACAAAAAGACAGGGACTCTAACCTCTCTAGTGGTGTGCTTTTCTTTCAAACTCTCCCGCGACATTGTGCAAAACGTCAAATAACCGGTCACCGACCGGCCTGTGAAATATGCAGGAAGCCGTTCCTCGTTCGTTCGGTTTTTTTGGGAGGGCGGTGGGGCCGGATTTGACGCCTATTCCGAGCGAGAGCAGCCGGTTAGAAAAATCTCGACGATATATATAGAGAGACAGCAGGTGGGGAGCCTATAGTGATACTCGGGAGCCCCACAGTGGCACATGCACATCCGTCCCTGTCTCCCGTTTTCTCGGATACCATGTCGTCAATTTCTGTTTATGTGGGGGTATTCCCCAGGGGCAACGGTCGTCCTATCTTATCTTTGTGTCGTCGCCTACTCCTCAACGAACCACCAGTTGTATAAAGATAGATGTGTCAACGAAACCTCTCATGATATTCTGTCTGGTAAAAATGTTGGTACCAAGAGGCCTCCCCGTCACCTTCCTTCTTCCTTGTTCAATCTCCACCTCCACCTACCCCGTCCGTCACCATCATCACTAACCAACCACCATCATTGATGTGTCATCATCATCATCTGTTTGACTTCCCCTTTTGTGATCATGGCGTAATCATTGTGAACCCGTTTAATGCAACAGACATTACATTGTACGGGGTTAGGCAGTCGAACACGATTTTCGGCCTTGTCTTTGATGACGGTCTGAAAAAAAAACCACAATTCGCGTATCGTGTTTTGAACGAACTTCTCCCCCCATTAAACACCCCCACCCCGTGTCTTACTGCGCCAATCAAGTGTTGGCATTTCCAGTTTCGTTTATTCTGCGACACCATTTAACACCCACCCAATCCATCAGATTCCCGTATCACATAGGCAGTGTTGCCAGCAGCAGCCTGTCGGCCTGTCAAACTTTTATGTTGTTGTCGGCAATGTTTTCTGGGATTCCCAAGGGATCACTGTACACTACCATCATGGCCTTTCCGGGTGCCCTTCATGGAGTGTCCCTGACGATATCACCCCAATGACTGTAAGAACTGTCCCCTGATCAAAGCTGGGAAGTACCGTACCCTGGCAGCGACCACCCTTTTGAAGTCGTTCCCTGGGTGGTCTAGCTGTTTGTACTGAAATTGTCCGTTTCGAAATATCAGGCATCCCGGATGTCTCTTAAAGTATACGTTGGAATTTTAATTCCCCCCCCCCCCGATATAAACAATGGGATGATTCATTATCATTAGCCTTTATCACTGCCTACACCCATTTTAGCTTTATCATGTATGGGTGGGAGGGCAAGCGGATGGTGTGCGGTGATTGTTGCTGTTTCTAGTAACATGTAACTATATAAAACCTGTTTCTTGATGAATGCCACCTTCTTTTGTTTACGCAATTGTTTTCGGATTGTCGCCATCTTGAAACTTACTACTTTACTCGCTAAATTTCATGATTTTTCAGGTCAAAATATAAAATGAAGTCGTTGGCGCTGTTGTTTGTCGCACTATTGGCCTTGGTGCAAGTTTCAATTGCTATCAGCTACGACAGACTAGTCTATGAGGCCCTGTTGAAGTGAGTTCAGTCCAAAATTCTTCTTTCGTACTAAATGTACTTCTGAAATTTTCTCTCCGCCTCATCAAAATTATCGATTCACTCGAAGATTCCATAATGTCGTAGTGTTGAAATTAAGCCGGTATTAGTGGGTAAGCTTCAGCTAATATCACTATGTCAACAAAAGCCCGTATTGCTCCCCACAAGTGCGGCGCTTGGGGTAATAGAAGTGCGTGGGCCGAAAAGCGATTGACCTGTTTCCCCCTTCCCCCTCCCACCCCCCACTTCTCGAATCTAGTGTGGTATGCTCAAAAAGAAGCAGCAGAAAACGCGTCATCAAGTGGGCTGTTTGTGCCCGATCCCATATCCCATAATATCTATTTCCCCCTATTTCCCAACCTGAAGAATTGAACCACTAGAAAGGCCCTTGAGGCCTATAAAACCTTGGCAATGTTGGGCTTACTGTAGGTTACTGTAGAAGGGGTGGGGTACCGCTGAGCTGTAAGAAGTGCTGAAAAAGTAAACCGTCTGCAAAATTTTTGCACGAGATGCCGATGCAGCGTTCAAAGAATGGGCATATCAATCGTCTGGGTGACGTGTAACATCAAAAACGGGCATTCGTGTGATTTCCCACTTAATTCGGTTTCTTCTCCGTGTTTGGCGATACACACTTCTCAGGCAGGCATGTAGGGTAAAACTCGTCCATCTGGATTGCTTTCTAATGCGTCAATCAGTCCTTGGCACCACACCCGAATACACCCGTCTGAGACCAGAAAACCTGAGCCTCGCGGGAAATGTTTTCAACAATTAGACGACGACCCCCCTTCGTAGGATTTACTGGATCGCATTGCATCAATAACAGAGATGAAGGGTCCCCATGGGATCTTACTGAGATAGATTGACTGGATGGTTAGGGAGTAACTGGTATTTTTTACAGAAACATGGAACAAGAAATGGCAGAACGTGAACTTGTCCGAGAATTATCACGACGAGCTCGAGCCGTACCAGTTGAAGTTGAACAACGAGAAAGGAGGTCATCCGAGAAGAAATCCTATCCACGAAACTGCTACTTTTCACCAATACAATGCCTGTTTACACGTTCTTGAACTACTAATCCTACCAAACCAACTATTTTACCACCATCATCTACACCATCACCATCACCATCATCATCTACACCAATATTTGGCAGCAACGGCAGCACCACCTTCAACATCCAAGTGGTGACCAAAAGTGACTTGCAGGAGCTGCAAGAGAGCAGCAAGTGAATAAGTGCGTCCTATTCATGTTCCACTTCTTCAGCCCCCACGTTCCCTCCTTTCCATCTGTTGATCTCGCGATATACTTCTAAAATCGCCAAAACATTGTTTCACAACTATACCATGTGCATCGCATAATACCCGCACCTACTAAACATCTCATCATTCCATCATCCCCCATTCCTTCCCATCATCCCCATTTTCCTCTTTTTCTCTCTACTCTTTTATGGCTTCCTAGTGTTTTTCGGCCTCGTTCGTTTTTTATTTTCACTCTTACCCGGTCGTCGTTACGTGTCTTAGCACTAATAAACGGTTGATCATTTCGTGATTAACACACTAATCAATCAGTAATCGATAATCGATCAATCAAGAAAAATCATCCAAAGAAAACCTTATTTGTAAATAAACGAATATCCGCCACCGCCCTATCCATTGGTCCATACCGTCGTCCGTCCCTCAACTAACATCCATTAACCAATCATTTCCTTTCATTGCCCCCTGTAGTAGAACAGATGTATTTTAGCTTTTGCTGGTTTCTTTGAAGATTTAGCAGATTCATGTTAATAATACAAAATGTCTGTTTAATAAAGTACATCTTCATGATTGGCTGTGTTATCAATTTATATCAGACCTGAATTAATCGGGTTTCAAAGATCCCAAACTGGCCCCCTACATTGAACCAGGTGATTCCAGCTACCTGAACCAGAACAGTCTCGTAGAACTTGTAAAACTGGTAAAACTTGTTTTGTGAACACCTCGTCAAAGCTATGACCTCAACCCCACAAGAGCAGAAGTCGAAGAGTAGCAGTAGAGTTTTCTGTTGGACCGGACCAAGTCGTACTATGCCTTCCGCTTATCCATGGTGGGCATGTCGGAGCGAGATGTCTAATCGTGAGGATAATACAATTATCTGATTACTGGTATGGAAATGTAAGCTTTTACATATAGGGGATCGACATTTAGAGGTGTTTCTGCGATTCTGACCATGGTCGATTGCGCAATGCTTCCTATAAGTATTGATCAATATCGGCCACTTCATCCATTTTATCCTCTTAAAGCCACGGGCACTTCACCTCTTAAGGCCATGGGCACTTCAGGGCTTTCGTCGAGGTTCCTCATGTGGAAAGCATTCGATGGCAAGGACTATAAATGATCTAAAGACATCGTACAACTTACCTTTACTCAGGTTAATGTAATACCACTTTGTTTCACGACCTCACCTTTGCTGCATCACTTTTAATTTTTATTTTGCCTCGGACTTTTTAATGTTTTGTTACTGTGTCCGTTAGAAATGAGTTATTTGAGTTGGATCAATTTGAACAGCTCCGCTATATGCTGCCTAATCCTTGAATAAGATTCGGCCATGTCAAGCCTCTGGGCTATTATGGGCTCAATATTTATTCGGAGAACGGGAAATATTTTCTAAATTTCTTCACCTCGCAATCATTCTGTTTCCGTACCAGAAACGATGAGTAATGGGATTAACATCGAATTACTCGCTAGCCTAGGTTTATTGCGTTAAGAGCCCACCGCTCTGAAAACAATTTTGATGGGATTGAAGAAATAGACTAATTGGATAAGAGACCAGGAGTTAGTCAAGCCCTCCCGAACCTGTACGAGATTCCATTCGCATCCACTCGAGCTTATTTATAGGGAACCCGAACATATTCTTGGGGAAGAGAAAACTGAAAATTACCTTCATAATGCTTTCCAACACCTCTCTTAATTCAGCTTCGGCATTATCGTTTGCTTTATTGAAATCTTTCTGCCTCTCGTAATTTTTGTTTTTATTTTTAATTTTTTATTTTTTGATATTGACGTATAGAGAGGGCAACTGTTGTCCTACAAATCTTAGGGAGATTTCCAAGCTCTTCATAGATGTCCCTTTTTTGTTTGACTCAAATTTTGATGTGCCCTTGCCTAGCTGGGTCTACTGGTAGCACTAGAGCAACCTATCCGTACCTTCCTTTGGAATTATGGCAGCTGAACACCATGGGGTCCGGCTTTTGACCAGTGCAGCTTGCTTTGACAGTTCTAGGCCACTTATAACAAGCCATGGTATAATGGTATAACGAGATCCAAAAATTGCCTTCGAAAGCTCATAAGACGGCGATAATAATAGAGGGGGGTAAGGGTTGAGTGTAAAATAAGCATTATTGCATCAGACATCAGACTTTGTTTGCATGGAATAGGTACCATTGAACAAAAAAAAAGGGACAATAGTGCTTCTTTGTGTTTAGTCGTCTTTCAGCAGTGTGTGTTTTTTATTTCAAGGTGAGTCTCTTTGCAGGACCGCCATCAAGACTGGTTTGATGTTTGTCCATGATCAACTTCTTTGTTGACGGTTTACGATTTGAACAGACTGGCTACCAGGCCAAGACGTGACTAACAGGTGCTTTGGTTTACAAAGGAACTCAAGAGTGTACCACGTCAATTACGTCATCACTGTTCACAGACTAGATCCGTAATTTCAAGGACCCTTTTCAATACCGGAAGGTTAGCCCCGGTCTTGAGAACGCTACCGTAGTGCAGGGGATTGAAACAGGAAGTTCCCTTCTTGCTGAAACATAAGAGAGTTTCTTGTTCTCCTTACTATCCCACGAATCGAATTGGTCTCATTAATCTGGGGGCGTTCAGAAGCAAAAGTTGAAATTAAAGGGAACAGGGCTTAGTTATTGAGGAACCTCCTAGGGAAGTCTGACCAAAGGAAGGCTCAGGTAAATTGATGGAGCGCAAAATGTAAAATAAGTGTAAAGAACAAATTCGCTAAATGAACCTTCAAAGTAGTTGTTGAAAAGTCAAAGGTCAGAACATCTGGTGCAGTACAGTCATGGAACAAACAGTTATTTTTTCGATCTAGAAAGTTTTGTATGAATAATTCCTAAGTAATTTATCACATGGAAAATTGCAATCATGGCCTTCAAATTTGTAACTACCGTAACAGGCTTTGCAGACCTAAATACCTAGTGTTTTCTTTGAAACTCCAAATTCGCCCTCAGTGTTCCCTTAAGAACTTCAAATTTACCTCCATATTAGTTTCAGTGATTACTTTAAACTTCATTTTTTCTCCCTTGACATAATTTTTTCTGACCTTTTTAGGATTTTTTCTTGTCATTATTTTATTTCAATATTTATTCATTTGCTTTATTTTACATTTGTTTTTCATTTTATGATTATCTTTTAGTGTTATTTTTATTTTTTTACGTATATATTTTTTCTCATTTTTGCTCCGTTTCCTCTGATGTACTCATTTCTAAAATGAAGTAGTTTCCGTCACTTTTGCAAATGTCTTTATTATCGACAGTTTCTTCCTGTTTTAAAAAATTAGTATCCGGAGCGGGTGCTAGTAGTAGAAGAAGGGGGTAATTATAAATTGATCAACGTTACTTTCACCTTTGAACATCTGCTTCGGAAAATGCTGTTGAAGTAATCCGGACGTGGTAGTAAGGAGCAGTGAAGGGCAAATAGAATCAACCCTCCGGATGGAATTCTTTGCACAGCAGTTCCGTTGTCGTTGTTGCGTAGAAGGCATTGATAGAGCTTGAACCCCAAAACTGTTGTGGAAGCCCACAGCGAAAAGTTTTAACCCGTTTTTCTGGCTTCCACCGTTTTCCCGTGAGTTCGCCCTCTGATCCACCATAGCTCTCCTCTCCAGCTTTCCAGGATTTTGAAGTTCATTCGCACCGATGAAAGGGAAAAAGTGGCTGTAGGCTGTATGTGGTAGAATCTCAGTCTTTTTCTTGATAGGTTCTTTAACTTGTTGAGGAGTTCGTAAAACGTTTTCATGAGGTTTTTGTAGTGATTTCCATGAGGTCCTTGAAGTGAGTGCCGCGCATCAGATTCTATGAACCTTCCCAGAATTTCATTCACTGCACTTTGTAAATCAGTAGAATACCCATTAGTCGAGTGGAAGCTAATGGGAAACGTCCTTGTTTACAAAAAAGTAGATTATCCTCTGTAATGGTAGACAAAATCCAGGGACACGGGCGTTAGGAACGATTTTGGGTAATCGATTTGCCGCACGCGGCTGTCGCGGACCACTCATTCGCCGTTATTACAGCTCTAGCCTTCTTCATACAGCTCAATCGATATGCGATCATTATTTTATGCATAGTTCTACTATTAGTACTTTTGTTCTTGTATTTGTTACCTACTGCTGCA